AGCTTTCACAGAGAAGCATGTTTAAAAGTAGAGGTTCATGCCTTGAGGCACTTTATGACTGTTAGTTATGTCAGAAGCCATGAATTCAGTACTTTGAGATCTCAGAATAAAATACAGTGCTAAGGTTTCTGCATTTTTCTAATAAGTATTTCACACTACTTACTGGTATCTCTAAGGAAGAAAAGATATCTTTAAACATGATAAAGTTTTTCAAGATAGCTGTTTTAGTAGGCCAATTTTAATCATGGGTAAGGTTTTGATTCAAACACAGTGACACCCTAAGGGATCCATGATCCCCTCTGTAAGATCAGATTTTTCAACGAAACAAATTGCTTTTATTGTGTTTCAGGATCATAATAGCCTGTTTCAATGGTGGCAGCTTCTCTTCCTAGATTGTAAATATGATTCAACAGAAAGGAACAGTCATTCAAACTGAGGGGAGAAGAAGTAATTTAAAATATTAATAACGTATTACTTAAACTCTAAATCCTGAAATATAATAAAAAATTCATTAACTAGAAGAGAGATATGAGGAAAAACAAAGCTTCCAGTTGAAATGTTTAAATATAAAAAACTATTGCACGCTTTTAATATGCCTTAGAATAAGAAAGTCTATGTTCTAGAAGGTAATTTTATTTTTAACCAAAAAAAAAAAAGATTTCACTTTGTGATCTCTTATGTAGTTAATATCTGGTTTTTGGAAGACATAGGTTAGAGATTTAAATCTCTTGGCAAAAAAAAAAAAAAAAAACCAAAAAACTATGTAGGTAAATCTTGTGTAAAACGAAAATGGAGGAAAAATATTCTTTACAAGGGAGTCCAGAGACATCTAGTGGCTGTTAATAATATACCAGATTTTTTTTCTCTTGGAAATGAAATCAGAAATTTATGCAGTTATACTACAGTCAAGTTTATATTGCACATAGGTTAAGTTATTCCTTTACATTCCTTACTTATTTAGTTTCGTGATTACAGAAACTGCAAACAGCATTAAGCTCACAATCTTAATAAAAACTACTAAAATATCACCTTAACAAAACTCAAAATTCAACAGATATTCCATCACAGAAAAGGACATGTACGTCCTAAACCATGATTCACCAACAAATGGAGGTAGACATTTGTCTTTTACAAGCTGTTGGAATTATTCTAAGCTGCACAAAATCCCAAATGATTATACATTTCAAATGGAAGATCTATGCTAATCATGGGCACAGATTAAGCTAGAAGGCACCTTGAAAGGGCAACTAATTCACTGTCAAAGTTGTCAAGAGGGTTCAAAATGAATCTCATTTTCAAAGGCTAATAGAAAAGCTATTCTACATTGTTCTTCCATAATCTATCTCAATGATCCAAAGAACCATGTCAAACAACTCTAACCTCAGTTCTTCATGCTACAGATTAAGTCTTACCTTTTTTCTTATTGTTTTCTCCATTCTTCTGACTGTATCTTGTGAACATTTACAGCTCTTACTAGTTTTTTGTAAATGTGTATAACTACATTTATCCACAGTAAGTATTAGGTTTTGAGAGTCAACTGATCCATTATTCCAATTGTTCTCATTTCTTTCTTGTATCCTGGCTTGATCTAAAGTATTTGCTAGCTCTACCAAAACTGTCATCCACAAGTTTGATGGACATTCTAACAATATAATTCATGTGTACTATAAATGCATATATTGGGCATGTTTCACACCCCTAATGAACTTTGAGATAAGAAAATATTTATGATAGAACTGTAACAAAGAAATGCATTACATTTTATGACTAGTCACAAAATCACATTTTGGGTTGTTAGTTTCTGGTTGCTTTTAATTTTTAGACTGCATAAATCTGTTTTTCTCTTAATTACTTTGGCTGACAAAAAACTGAGGATGCCAACATTAAAAATGTGTTGCATGAATTTCAATATCATCATGAATGGCACTGCTAAGTAGCACTAGAATCTAACAGGAACACAATTTACATTAGACACAAATGGAGGAAATAGCTTAAGCTAAAACAAAGTATTTCTTCTACTTCATTATTATGTTTATAATAATTCATACAACTCTTATACACAACTTAGCTAACAATTCCTTTTCATTAAAAATAAATCCTTAGGTTATTAGCATCATCTCAAGTACCTACTGCTTAATTACAAAGAAGAAAATTTACCTTTAAGTTGCAAAGCCCTGGGAATAACCATATTAATCAAGTGAACAAACTTAGCATCATCAAAAGTGAGACAACCTGCCATGCCTCCTGCCACAATACAATAAGAAGGACACATCACTTCCGGTACATTCTTGACAAAAACGTTGAACCCAAATGTAACAATAAGCAAACAATACAAGCCATTCTATGAGACAACTAGCCTGGATACCTTAAAAAATCTTTGTCATTAAAAATAGGAAGTTGTGGATTAAAAGAGACAGAAGATCCAATAACCAAATACAATGTGTGAATCTTGCTGGATCGGTTTAAGAAAAAACAGGGCCCAGTGTCTGGCACAGTGGGTTAAGTCGCCACTTGTCTCATATCCAATATTGGAGTGCCTAGTTCAAGTTCTTGCTGCTCTGATTTCAATCTGGTGTCCTGCTAATAAGCACCCTGAGAGGCAGCTGATGATGGCTTAAGCACTTGGTATCCCTCTTGGGAGACCCAGATAGAATCTAGGGGTCTACTTTGGCCTGGCCCAGCTCTGGCTATTGCTGGCCATTTGGGGAATGAGCCAGCAAATCAAAGATCACTCCCTAACTCTATTTCTCTCTCTGCCTTTCAAATGCAAATGTAATTTTAAAAGTTTAGTAAGTTACATAAGAAATATACAAAACAGATATAAAAATACTCTGATGATATAATTTTTGTCTCCAACTAGTTAATGTGTTTGAATTTCATTTTTTTTATTGTTTATTTCAAAGGCAGAACTATAAAGAGAAAGAGAGAGGAAGAGAGAAATCTTCCAACCACTGGTTCACTTCTTCAGAGGGTTGCAATAGCCAGGGCTGGGCCAAGCCAAAACCAGAGGCCTAAACTCCATCACTCTCCCTCTTAGTTGATGCAGGTAATTAGCCAGGAGCTGTATCAGAAGTGGAATAGTCAGGACTCGAACTGGTACCCACATGGGATGGCTGTAGCACAGGCTGGCACCAGAGTGCCAGCCCCATGTATTGGAATTTAATCACTCAGTGGAGTCGTTTAGGAAGTGGATTCAAATAGCAGGTTTTTTTTAGGTCTTTTGGGATGCGACTAATGGGAGATGTTTGGATCAGGAAGTATTCGAGTTCATGCCCTCATCACTTGAGTAATGTTAGGTTTCAAGAGAGTGGACTAGTTACCTCAAGAGTGGGTTCCTGGGACTAGCACTGTGGCATGGCAAGTTATGCCACACCCTGGGACACCTCTTTCCCATATCCACGTCCAGTTCAAGTTTCAGCTACTCCAATTTCCATGCAGATCCCTGCTAAGGCCTAAAAAATCAGCAGGTGATTGTCAAGTGCTTAACTCCCTGCCTCCCATGAGTGAGACCCAGACGGAGTTCCTGACTCCTGCCTTTGGCTGGTCCTGGCCATTGTGGTCATTTAGGAAGCGAGCCTCTCTCTGCCCTTCAAATAGATAAGCAAATCTTTAAAAGAAGAGTAAATAACTATTGAGCCTCTTCAGCTTTCATCTCCCTCCACATGTGCCTGCTTCCCCATGTTGGTTCTCCACCAAGTTACAATGCAGCACGATGCCCTTGCCAAAAGCTGTTCAGATATGATTGCTCGATATTGAATTTGCCAACCTCCAGAACCATAAACCCAAACAAATATCTACTCTTTATAAATTATCTAGTCTTGCTCCCAGCACAGTAGCCTAGTGGCTAAAGTCCTTGCCTTACATGTGCCGGGATCCCATATGAGCGCCATTTCATATCCCAGTTGCTCCACTTCCCTTCCAGCTCCCTGCTTCTGGCCTGGGAAAGCAGAAGAGGATGGCACCCTCATGGGAGACCCAGGAGAAGCTCCTGGCTCCTGGCTTCAGATCAGCTCAGCTCCAGCTGTTGTGGCCATTTGGGGAGTAAATCAGTGGGTAGAAGATCTTTCTCTCTGTCTCTCCTCTGTTTAAATCCAACTTTCAATAAAAATAAAACTTTAAAAAAAAAACTGTCTGCTCTTAGGTATTCTAATATTACAACATGAAATGGACTGAAGAAAGACAACATCTGGGCCCGGCGCAATGGCACAGTGGTTAAGGTCCTCGCCTTGCACACCCGGGATCCCATATAGGTGCCGGTTCTAATCCCGGCAGCCCCGCTTCCCATCCAGCTCCCTGCCTGTGGCCTGGGAAAGCAGTCGAGGATGGCCCAAAGCTTTGGGACCCTGCACCTGTGTGGGAGACCGGGAAGAGGTTCCTGGCTCCTGGCTTCGGATTGGCTCAGCTCCTGCCATTGTGGCTGCCTGGGGTGTGAATCATTGGAGGGAAGATCTTCCTCTCTGTCTCTCCTCTCTGTATATCTGCCTTTCCAATAAAAATAAATCTTTAAAAAAAAAAAAAGACAACATCTGCAGAAGCTTCTAAATGGACTATTTTTCCAATGACGATGCCGAATCACTGTTAACATTTTCCAGCGAGGCTGTGCTAACATAGGAAAATATATTTATTCCTAGCGGATGCATGCTAAAATATTTGAAAGTGAGCACTCATGTTGTCTGAGACTGCTTTTCAAGTAGTTCAGAAGTACAGATATGGGCATTTACAGATATGAAACAGACGTATTTCTGAGTATAGAATATAAATGGTTACCTATTTCTGAAAATACAGATTATACTATATATGGCACATATTTAGATATATAGATGCTGTGAGATATATATATATCTCCATATATATCTCACATATATATATATGGAGAGTATGAACAAGTATGCTACTGTGACAAAATGCTAGCAACTGGAGAATGTAAATGAAGGACACACAATATCTGCAATTTTTCAAAACAAAGAGTTGGCAGAAATAAGTAAGAAAGCAACACATACCATTGCAGTTCTAGACTTGATAAACCAGTCAAATCTGAACTGGGGAGCATTCCGGACGCACTGTCTTAGTTCTTCATACACATTTTCTCTATCAAAACCCATTTTGTGTAACATACAAATCAAGAATCTATCTTCTTCCTCAGTATAGTTCTTCCCTTTACTGGTTCCGTACTGAATGCGTAACTGATGAAATGGAGCCTTGTATCTTGCAATCTGTGTATTTCAACAAAAATAGTGCTTTTAGCAAAAAGCGCAGTAAGTCTAAGCTAATCATCACATACATTAAAATAACATAAGAATAATTTGACATAAAATGTAGTACTTTAGCATCCAGGGCTTTTTTGATACTGATCCTTCGCTGAATTCTTGCTTCTCCACGTTCAATTTGAGCCATAATTTTCTCAATATCCTGCAACTCATTGCAACGTTCCCAAAACACAGCTGAAAAACAGTTATTTTAAAATAGTATCATTTAGGCCAAAAACTAAGGAATCAGAGTATAAAAAGTGGGAAAAATTGTAGTGAACTTACATCTTAAAAACTGTACACCCAGAATCATCTGTCTATGTAAGTTCAATTATTGAAAACTATCTTTTATTTAAAAACAATATGTCAGCAAGGTTTTAAGTTAGAAATTCCCATTTCATGAAATACTCATCCCAAATAGCTGCGATCTCAAAGGATGATACAGACACTGATTTAAGCTAGGCTTTTTTCTCAAACATGACATAGAAGAGACCAAATACCTAAAACTTAACAGAAGAGGGCAGTATACAAACAGAGAATTCACTTTCCTAGCAAGCAAAAGCAAAACCTTACCAACATGTCCAATTTTTCCCATGAAACAAACATCTCTACTGAAACTGTTTTCTGCTTTTCAAACCATTTATTAAGATTGCAATATTTCTAATTCTGTTTTGTTTCTAAACTCAACTCAAACAGGCTTTTCTCTAAGAAACACGTTCTTTGGGATTTTAATCACATACAGACAAAACACTCAAATTATCCAGCCACCCAACCAAATTTTATATATGAGTCCAATAATCTGGTTGTATTAATATTCCCCATCTTACGACTTCAGTGGAAGGAAAGCCTTTTAATGACTTAGTCTACATTCTCAAAGTCTTCATTTTTATAGCCTATCAACAAAGGTGTTTTAGCACTCAGATTTTATAAGCACTTGTGTTGGGTTATCCATTCACAAGCTTATTCACGCAACACACATTTAAATGCCTATTTAAGATACTGTACACTCACAAACAGCCAACTGTACATTTCCTCTCTTTCTACACAACTGACATGGTATCTTTTAGAGTCACTTTTTGTCTTGCAACTTCACATACACTGCTGCGATTTCACTTCAAATCTCCTGGAAAAAAAACTTGTAAAAATCTACACACACACTTTCACACTCTTTGCATTTTACTTTGGCTGCTAAAATCTCTGTTTTTCTCCTAAGCCCCCAAATGCACTGAACTGACGAGTCACATTTTAACAGTAATCGGAATGTCACGCTGCTATCAAGGGAAGCCTCCAAAGCCCCTGTAATCACCAGAAGGCCCTTTCAGCCTCCCAAACGTTAAAAAAAAAAGTATCTGTTCTCCAATTAAACTTGGATTTAATCAAGCATTAGCACTCCAGATAAAGCGAAAAGCTGTTCCATACACTATTTCGTTGCTACTATTGTAAAAATACCGTATTTCAGTGGTTCGGTTAAATAGGATGGAAGCACAAAGAGAAGTTTCAAACTTAAAACTACTTCTGTGCCATTGCTTCTGTAGTGAAAAGTGTCCTATATTCTAAACTGCTGTTATTCACACCAAATTTCAGAGTTCAAAGTATTTGGAAGTTAGAAACATCCTATGTTCCACATAGAGAAAATTACCTGTTTTGTTTTGTTTTGTTTGTTTTATTTTTCTGAAACCTGAGGTTGGACATTCTGTGGTATGCAAATTACTACTAACTACACCTGCTTCTGCAACTAAACTGATTCTGGTTAAGAAAAAAGACACGGCTAAGTAGAAGAGAGAAATGATTCCAGGATCAGTAGACAGATTTATTCAAGCAACATTTTCAGACCCATCCCAGCTTGCCTCACATCAATAGGACCCACATAACTAGTCTAGAATAAACTTGGAACGCCAGGTACGTTTGTGCGTCTAGACAGGCCTATCAGGAACTCTCCAGTTTCAAGGATAATCTAGAAGAAAAGACCCAAATCTGAACCTGAAATCACATGACTGGACTAGAAGAGGACCAAATCCAGAGGTGGAAGAGTAAGAAACACTTTGTCCATACTTATCTAATAACCACCCTTAGTCATCAGTTTTACTTGGTTGTATGAGCTAACTACTAGAGAACAAAGTACTTAGTATGGTAGAATAAATCCTTAACATCTTTTCACAGAAAACAGTTATATTTATACTTTCACCTGCATGTAAGCATCAAAGTTTAAAAGATCTCTGAACAAAGGGACAACTAAACCGATGCTGAACAAATGAGTAGGGCTGAAGCAAAACATCAAGTTTCAAATTATTTACTGACCTGAATATTCCATGACTTCCTCAGGGGACTTTCCCTCCACCTCCCGAGCTATATTATCAATGTCATCTCTTCCGTACTTTTCATTCGCTTTAATAAACTGGTTAAAATCTCGCTTAGTCCAGTTCGTAAAACCCTGAGGTCAAAGAGTTAAGTAGACATTAAATTAATATATCCATTTATTATCCTATGTACTTCTTTCTATACCGTGACAGTGTAAAAACATTCTTAAATGCTCCTTCTTATTAAAATTGTGCTTTTTTATATGCTGGACTCAAAAGTTGAGCAACAAATGAAATAACTGCTTTCTATGCTTTCTAGCTATTTCTAGAAATAGTTGCTTTACTATGATGAGAAGGTACCCCCTTCCAAGTGCTTAAAGTTGATTTTAAGGTCTAAGATACTATTTACTTCAGTATATTTTACAGATCTCTACTACATTAAAATACGAATGCATTACAATTAAAATGCTAATACAATCACTAAAGCCCTTATATTCTACTACTTTAATATTTTTTAAGACAGATCTGTTTTCATGTTTTCATGTAGATTGAGAGGATTATAGATGCATTAAATCAATATAACACTGAGGGATGATCAAAACAATGAGAAAAACCTTTTGTAGTTCTTTTTATTATTCCAAACTATAATTAATGATTCTTGCTCAAAATTATATGCATAAATATAATTTCCATAAATAGTATATTATTGAGCCTACTTAATTTCTCTATTACAACAGAGATCAGCTTAGCCTGTGTTTTAAATCTCCTGGCATTATTAACATTTCTGTGAAATCATAGGACCAAGAATTCGCTTTCTACCCAAAGTGTGATGCACTTGACATTACAATTGGTTTCCCTGGCTTTTAGTTGTCAAGATTTCAAGTGACCTCATATTTTGCTCCTTTAGACTGACATGATTTTAAAAATATGTGTAATTATTATTCAGCAACAGAGAAAGATGATTGAAAATGAATTCAACTATGAGATAGGGAGAACCTGCTGCTGTCCCAGTGACAGCACCAGCTCGGTGAAGACTCTTCTTGTTCACTCACAATAGATTGCAAGCCAGGGAGCATTTCTAGGCCCTAATGTCACTTTGTGTTCAGGAAATAAATTTTTGAAAATAGAACATGAATATTTAAAAGTTTTATTCTGTGTTAAGTCCCAGTGCTCAGCCACTGCAATTATACCTTCAAACCAAACTTTATGACTTTCAGACATCTGACTCAAAACTCTATGAATATTGCTTGTAAAAAAAAACCCTTCAATAAAAATCACATTATAACAAGGAAAAGACTCATATAATAAATAATACATAAATATAAAAACTATCTTTCAATAATTAATGCAGAGAATTTGCTACAACTCTATACATTCTTAAAAAAACTATTGAATAAATAAATCATACTGGCAACTTTCTATAATAAGATGGTATCGAACAGTAAACACATTCTTATTATTTTGCAAGAGTCTTTTATGCTGGTACTTTTTACTTGGTACAGTTTATTTGAGATTCATGATATTAATGAAATTCATTATTAAAAAGTTTGAACATACTAATATTTTGTTCAAATGGAAATGTTCCTTTTTAATAATAGCTAACTTTTAATTATATAACAGTCACCATAAAATTTTCACACAGTTTAGGGCTGCCATTGTAGTATATTGGGATATTAACAGGCGATGCTTGCATCCCATATGATCTCTGGTTCAAGACCTGGCTGCTGCACTTCTGATTCCATGCCTTGCTAATGTAGCTGGGAAAAGCAACAGAAGACAGTCTAACAACTAGGGCCCGGGACCTAGGCAGGAGACCTGGCTGGAGTTGCACAAGCTTCAGCCTGGGACAGCCCTGGCAGTTGCAGAACCAGCTAGGAAGATTTCTGTCTTTCCTCTAACTCTGCTTTTCAAATAAATAAATCTTTATTTTAAAAGTTTCAGAAATTTCTCATGTTTTAAAATTCTTTCCCAGAAAACTGTTTAAATATGAGATTATTCTATAAATTAAAAATAGTAGGATATAATTTCAGGGTAAAATCAACATCAACCAATAAAACAAACTAAAATTTTCAAGAATATGTTAGTGATTACAATTTACCAGAACTCAAAAATAGATTCACTGACCTTTCACATATCACATGGTTGACAGTTACATTGTATGTATATGTGTTTTTTCCCAAAGAACATATTCTATAACAGGTATTTCAGAAATAGGGATAACGGGCTGATGTTATAGCACAGTGAATTAAGCTGTGCTTACAACACACATCAGACACATATCTGAGTGCCCATTTTTTTAAAAAGATTTATTTTTTATTGGAAAAGCAGATATACAGAGAGGAGGAGAGACTGCTTTCCCAGGCCTCAAGCAGAGAGCTGTGTGGGAAGTGGAGCTGCCAGGATCAGAACCAGTGCCCATATGGGATCCTGGTGAGCTCAAGGCAAGGACTTTAACCACTACGCTATCACACCGGGCCCTAAGTGCCCATCTGATTTCTGGCTGCTTTAGTTCAGATCCAGCTTCCTATTAATGCATCCTGGGAGCCAGTAAATAATGACTCTAGTGTTTGAGTCCCTTTGACACCCATGTGGGAGACCCAAGTGGAGTTCCAGGTTCCTAGATTCAACTGGGCCTAGCCTTGGCTGTTACAGGCATTTGAGTAAAACAATGGACGGAAGATATTTCTCTCACCAGCCTGTATCTACAGGTCTCTCCCTTTCTTTTTTTTAAATTCTCTTTCTCCCTCCTCCTCCCAACAGCTCTGCCTCCCAAGTAGATGAAAACACATGCTTTAAAAAGACGTATCTGTTCTAGACATATGTTTAAGAAGGGTGGCTCATACAATAAAAAACGTGATGTATATTTTCCTATTTTCTTTTATTCTAACAGTTGGTTGGAAGCATTTCAGGCACTTAGAATACATTACTTGTGTGAGAAGCTTTTCCTTTTCTTCAGTCTCCTCTTGTGTAAGAGTTTCAGCTCCATCGATCTTTCTTTGCTCTTCTCTTTGAGCCAGAGCTGGATTTGGGATATCGGGATTCCTGGGAACCTACATAGCACAAGTGATAAAATTGACAAGACACATTATCACAATGTATATACACATCCCAATATTTAGAGTCACCTTAACACTAAAGAATATGAAGTTATAACCAGAATGGCATGTGGTCTCCACATTATCAAAAGAAAAACCATTCTGGTCCCATCCAACATTATAGATTTAATATCCATTAGGAAATGAACCTCAGGTTATAGTCTAGACTTGATTATACTGTGGTACAAAATACATTCTTACAACATTATAATAGTACTTGGAGTAAATAAAAAGTTCCACAATTAAAAACTGTTTGTATTCCCCTAGTTAAAGAGACCAGGGTACAGAGACGACAATGCACCTAAAGATTATACTCAAAACTTTGATTAGTTCAATGTGTAAAGAATGTTAATATGCCTTCTGGGCCATGAAAGGGGAGAATATTTTACGTAAAATAGAAAATTAGACAACAAGCTCTTGGCTACCATTTAAGACAACAGTTCGTATGCTTGCACGTTGCATCCCTTATCAGAGTGCCTAGGTTCATCTCGCAGGTCCAGCTCCTGATGCCAGCCTCCTATTAATGCAGACCTAGGAGTCAGTGGTGCTGGCTCAAGCAGGGTAGGTCCCTGTCGTAGGACTGAGAATCCTACGTCCAGGCTTTGGACTGACGCAATCTCACAGCCACAGACATTGGAGGAGACTGCTTTCTTGTTCATTTGCTTTCTTTGCCCCCAAATAAAATATTTTGAGAAATAGAAAATCTGCATTCAGTGGCAGGATAATGAAGGAAAAATGAAAAGGACATTATAAAAGGAGGGGAGTAGTACAACCTACAGACAACTGTCGCGGAACCCACTGTGAAGGGGAAAAGGGCAAGAAATAGTGATGAACAGAAATGACGCAAGGTTTTCTGGGCAGAGTTACAAATGTGCTGACAACCAAGAGGACAGCTCAAGTTCAAAAGATGGAGGACAGAAACTCAAGCTCCCCAACAAGCAAGCCATTAAGTGTATGGCAAAACTGAACTCCAAAGAGCTTCAGGCTCCACAGTGGAGCACATATGATGGGTCTTCCCAAGGTCCATGGAAAATGTACCCTTCACATGGCATTGCTCTTTGCCACGGTACATTTATCTTTTGACTTCGTTTTCCACAAACATTTTGAAGTATGCTTATACAGTACAGCTCAGCAGCCTGGGCAGTGTTCACTTTGTGGTGGAGGGAAGGGGGCAAACTTTGTGTCTCTCAGCACCAAGTCCAGCCAACTACTATGCGCATCTGCAGCCACAATGCAGCATGCTGACTTAAGAAGGCAGGTAGAGAGCATGTACATTCTACAGCATTCTCTTCAACATGAAACGAAAAGGGCTGGCAATAAGCCTCCTGCAGTTTGGAACATATACATGTCAGAAATTACTCATTCTCCAGGGGTATCAGATAGTCATGGTTTTGCTCCATTACTATTCTAATACATTTTTCTCATCATTACACATATTTCACAGTTGGTAAACATAACACTAGACTCTAAAGATAAGCATTTTGTAAAATGTTGTGCCCAACAGCTCTCCAAAAACACAATCTGCTTGCTGGGAATTAAAAACAAATACTGGACCCAGCATGGTAGCCTAGTGGCTACAGGACTTACCTTGCACACGCCAGGATCCCTTGAGTGTACCAGTTCTAATCCCGGTGGCCCCGCTTCCCATCCAGCTCCCTACTGTGGCCTGGCAAAGCAGTCGAGGATGACCCAAGGTCTTGGGACCCTGCACCCATGTGGGAGATACCACGTGCAGCTCTTGCCATTGCAGCCACTTGAAGAGTGAATCATCAGACAGAAGATCTTCCTCTCTGTCTCTCCTCCTCTCTGTATATCTTTCTAATAAAAATAAAATAAATCTTAAAAAAAAAATACTAAAGAGGGCCCAGCGTGGTGGCCTAGTGGCTAAAGTCCTCGCCTTGAACGTGCTGGGATGCCATATGGGCACCGGTTCTAATCCCGGCAGCTCCACCTCCCATCCAGCTCCCTGCTTGTGGCCTGGGAAAGCAGTCGAGGACAGCCCAAAGCTTTGGGACCCTGCACCCATGTGGGAGACCTGGAAGAAGTTCCTGGATCCTGGCTTCGGATTGGCATAGCATCGGCCATTGCGCTCACTTGGGGAGTGAATCATCGGACGGAAGATCTTCCTCTCTGTATATCTGACTTTCCAATAAATAAATAAATCTTTTTAAAAAATACTAAAGAAAGTAGACTGATTTATAATCATCAGCACCAGATAGCCAAATTATTACATAGGAACTAAATGTCCATTATGTCCATAATACATTGAAAGTACTGAGTGTAATAGGAAACAAGTAGTCAGCATGTTCCTTGATCACAAGCCTGTTGCTGAGTTTTGAGCAGTGCCTTTTTTTTTTTTAAGATTTTAAACAATTTTATTTGAAAGGCAGAATTACAGAGAGAGATTCCATCCACTGGTTCACTGCCCAAATGGCTGTAAGAGCCATAGCTGAGCCAATCCAAAGCCTGAAGCCAGTAGTTTTTTTTGATGTGTCTCCCACATAGGTGCGGGGGCGGGTGGGGGGGGGCATCCTCCACTGCTTTCCCACGACATAAGTAGGGAACTGGGTTGGAAGTTAACATGAATATATTTCACTGTATATATGTTTTACCTGAACAATCTTAAGTAAATATTGGACTTTGAGGGATCAGCTTGTGGTGCAATGGGTTAAGCCACTGCCTGTAACATTGGTATCTCATATCAGAGCACCAGTTTGAGTCACAATTCCTTCTCTTTCAGGTAAGCTTTCTGCTAATGAAAGTAGCAGAAGATGGCCCAGGCACTTGGGTTCTTGCCACCCATATGGGAAACCAGGACAGCTTCAACGCAACCCAGCCCCAGTTATTCCAAGTATTTGGGGAGCGAACCAGTGGATGAATATCAACATGCTTCCCCTCCCTCTGTCACTCTGCTTCACACATAAATACATAAATCCTTCAAAAGTCTGTATTAGGTATTGTACTTTCCCTAAGAACGCACATATTTAAATGCTTCCAGGTAAAATGCACTTATGACTGCAATTTTGAAATACGTAACAAATAAAATGGATCTGAGGGCTGAAGAAATGGAAAAATAAGCGAAAAAGCAAACATAGTAAGAAGTAAACATGAGTGTATGCATATATTCACCAACACAGTTATGTCAATATTTTTCAGTGTTCAAAATTTCTTGGGCATAGCACAATGGATCAATTGGTTAATCCTCCCCTTGAAGCACAGGGATCCCTTATGGCTGCCGGTTCTAATCCTGACTGACCCGCTTCCCATCCAGCTCCCTGCTTGTGACCTGGGAAAGCAGTCAAGGACAGCCCAAAGCCTTGGGACCCGTGTGGGAGACCTGGAAGAAGCTGCTGATCCTGGGCTTTGGATTGGCTCAGCTCCAGCCATAGCAGTCATTTTGGGAGTGAACCAGCAGATGGAAGATCTTTCTCTCTCTCTCTCTCCTCTCTGTGAATCTGCCTTTCCAACAAAAATAGGTACATTTTTTTAAAAATTAGGGAGAAAAGCAAAAAAAAACCCAAAGAGATCAGATAGATAGATGTATCAGAGTGGACATATCTGCGTCTCATTAAAAAAAGAAGAAAAAAGTTTGTATGTTTCAATAGACTACATAGCTTTAAATCTTTAATAAGATGATTAGTTTGATGCTATTTCAAATTACTTTGAGTTCAAATTTTAATTTTGAAAAATCACTTTGATCTTAAGATCTATCAAATATCTACAAACGGCCCATGTCCAGCCATATTCTAACAAAATATTTTATAAATATTTAATTTATAACAGAAATAGATAATATGTCCCTGCAAGATAAAGTGTTTATTATTATGAAGATTTCCCCAATACTGAAAATTTGCCCTTGAAACTTCTGATAACAAGAAAATTGGAGTATTATACATCACAACTGGAATTTAGGATCCACTGGAGGCAGCTTCTTCCATAGCCACTGCACAGAATAACAAAACAAAACTTAGGACTAACTTCAGCAATGCCGCATTTACAATTTAAATTCTAGAAATTATTTGAATATCAAAAATTCCTTCATTTTCATAATTTTAAGAAGACTCTCATGAGGCCTTATCAGTAGTAAGCTTCCTGCAACGATTTCAAAGTGCTGTTTAAGAGAGGCAGGCATGTAAGACAGAAGTACGAGGAGAAAGCAGCAAGCACCAGGTGATGCTGTCTGCTGGGACCTGGTGACAGTGTGGCGTGAGACGTACTAAGTTTGGACAAGTTTACATGCTGTGCGAATATCAATGAGTCATTCTGTGCTCAGGAGGAAATACTAAGTCTGCTCTGATTATACCATTTAGCTGCAGAATTTCTGTTGAAAATTACGATCCTACAATGTAAGACTCATAGAAAAGAAGCTGCAGGGCCCAACATGATGGCTTAGTGACTAAATCTTCACTTTGCATGTGCCAGGATTCCATAGAGGCACTGGTTCATGTCCTGACTACTAAACTTCCCATCCAGCTCCCTGCTTGTGGTCTAGGAAAGCAGTAGAGAACAACCCAGACCCTTGGGATCCTGCCCCCCCATAGGAGGCCCAGAGGAAGCTCCTGGCTCCTGGCTTTGGATCAACTCAGCTCCCGCTGCTGCAGCCACTTGGGCAGTGAACACGCTGATGGGAGATGTTTCTGTTTCTCCTTTTCTCTGTATATCTTCCTTTCCAATAAAAAATAAATTGGGCCCGGCGGCATGGCCTAGTGGCTAAAGTCCTCGCCTTGAACATGCCAGGATCCCATATGAGCACCGGTTCTAATCCTGGCAGCTCCACCTCCCATCCAGCTCCCTGCTGTGGCCTGGGAAAGCAGTCAAGGATGGTCCAAAGCTTTGGGACCCTGCACCCATGTGGGAGACCTGGAAAAAGTTTCTGGATCCTGGCTTCGGATCGGCACAGCATTGTCCATTGCGTTCACTTGTGAAGTGAATCATCGAATGGAAGATCTTTGTCT